CCGCGTGACGGGGAACGCTTTAACCACTAGGCTACATCATCGTCCCGTGTAAAATTGCATTGGTTCAGTGAAGACTTGGGTAAGATATAAACTTGATATATACTGTAACGTGCTAAAATAAGTCTAGTCTGGATGTCCAGAGTGAAAACAATGATCTGCAGGTCTTGATGTAATGTGAGATGAGAAAGGCATGCCCTTACCCACTTATATAGTCTAATTCCCTTCTAGAACGTTCAATAACATGCTGGAGTAGTCTATAGCCGTTGTAGAAGATTCCACATTACACTTGACCCAAAAAGAATCTAAAGATAGTAACTTCCAGCCATTTGCTTACATTAGATGGTAAAACAGTCCTGACAACTACTATTTGTTTAAACACACTGCTATTAAAATCTACTGACATAAACATTCTTTGCTGATAAATGTACAAAAGCTGTGAAGTACAGTGAGTGATAGTAAACATTATGCATGATTTTCATTTAAAGATATCTTTTTACAAAAATCTATTCATGTTTGCATTCACAACTGATCACATTCAGACAACTTGTGATAATGCATCAGGAAACGGTTGCTTTTGCCTGTAATATGCTTGACGTCTTAATCAAATTCCTGCACAGACAAGCTCCAGGACATTAGGCATTGATTTGTGATCAGTGTACACTTGAACAGGGAACAAGGTAGTACCCAAATACACTTCAAATTGTTACAAAACTAACGATAGGGCGAGAGTTTCCATTTCAATTGTGGAATAATTTATGTGATGCTTGCCAAACAGGTTGATCAAAACCTGATGCATCTTCTTGCTAATCTGAATTGTTTTAAATTTTTGCTTGGAGAACATGAGAATTCATTTAGTTTTCTCAAAAGCAGCCTAACAATTGCTAGTCCGTAACAAATTTTACCCTTGCTCCCAGCCAAATGTACGGCAGTAACTGGCCATACGCAGAAATCACATAAGTTCCTCTTGGTGTTGGGGACTTCTAATTGTGAAATAGCTTCCATCTCTGCTTCAGTGGGCGGTACCTGACTTTGGACTATGACAATGTCTTAAATTTGTACATGTGCTTGTGAAAATTCACATTTCACTAAACTTGCAGGCAACATGGTTTCAGGCGTCTGCGATGTCATTGGCAGACGCATACATCAATGTCAAGGTCCACCAACAAGCCTCAATGAACTCAGACTTGCCCTCACTGATGAGTAGACAACATGAGTCAAGTTGTTCTGATTGCCTGCTCCACGGAAGATATGTCTTGTTGATTCCCACTACCCCCTCACTTTTGGAGAAAGCATATTATATATATTGCAGGTAACATCACAGAAAGTCTTGAACTAAATCTGGCCCTGATTATATTGTATTGGTTATTCAAAATGTTAAATTGAGTGCCATGTAATGCCACTTTAAATAATATGTCAGTTATATCACGGCTTGTAGGATTGATTGGCAAGGGAAATGTACACAATGCCTGCAAATAGCATGCGACCAACACGCGTCAAAATGAGAGTATCTGACCAAAACTAGAACGTCCAAAAATCACGAAAACAAATGCATTTCCCTCCACAAAAACTCGCAGTAAAACGTATCTGATCTATGTGATGCGATCACAGCCTGGCACCGTCGTCTGATGCTCCCAATATGTCTGGATGGTCGTCAAGGGAAGATTTCTCCACTCGTCAGTGAGAGCATTGCTGAGTTCCAGTAGAGTTGTTGAAAGGACAGGGCGTCGCGAGAGGGCGATCTGCAGGTCGTCCCACATACGATCGATAATGTTTAGGTCTGGTGACAAGGTTATTGAATCCATACGGATAATGTTCTCCTGTCTAAGTAGATAGCAATGACTGTCTTGATGAGGTCGTGCGTAATCGTCCATGAGGATGAGGTCCGATGGCACCAGCATAGGGTCTCAAGTACATACCCAGAATATCTTCCCTGTACCACACGTCTGTCATCGTGCCCTCTGAAGGATATAGCGATAGCTTACAATCGTTCAAGGGCTTGGCGTCGCTGATTTCTTGTCAATTTTGACATGTGGTAGCAATTCAATAACGAATGAATGTTATCCGATCTGGGTGGATTTTTATAGGGCAAGAAATGGGGGAACGCATGTGCATTTCAATTTGCACGGAACTCACGTGCATCAGGCTACCATGGCCGTTGCCGTGATGCGTTTGGGCGATCGTTTTTATTGTCATCTGCTTTGTTTTTTTATCATCAAATTTAACTTTTCCGGACAAGGTAATGTTACATTTTAGAAACTTTGACAAAAATTACCCAGATATTTAAATGACAACTTTTCATGCAATGTTACTTTGGTGACGTTTCTTTTGCGTTTCAGTATACTTCCCCAATTTGCCCGCCGTGGAATCTGATAAACGTGGGAGCGTGTTGCCACTTTAAGCCCGATAGGGTGAAGATTGTTGTAAAGATGTAATCCTTGAATAATAAATATAACCCATCTTACTGGTTTGAAATATCATTGTTGTGACTTCATAAGAGCCATTATCCAGTGCATTATGTCTATGTTTTAATATGATACACTTCTTCGCTCAGACAGGACGCCTTCATGGTCGAGTTGTAGAGCGTGTCCCTGGAGTGCAGAAGGTCCGGGGTTCCATCCCTAGCCGAGTCATACCATAAGACGTTAAAAGATGGTACATGATGTTACCTTGCCTCGCGTTCGTCATTGAGGGTGTACAACAACGACTGGTCGGCTGGGAGTTAGAATGCTGTGTCTGTCCACAGACTTTTGCTAGCAAATGTACTTACTTTCTACACATTGGATGTTCCCTGATCTTGTTAAGACAACCCGAGAGAGTTTTCCCGAGCATTAACGCTGCTGCTGTAGTTCATGTCTCTTCTGGAAACATGGACTATGTTGGATGTTATAAAGGTCCACATCAACCTTTACTTGTCTTACAAGCAGGATACGACTTGTCCTTCCCGATTATATACAGACCCTCATTCACCTGGAATATGTCCAGTTGCGGCGTTAGGCGACCCACAAACATAAAAGAGCATTTTAGTGACTTGAGAACAATATGGTGTTTTCGTAATACACGAAACCACGATAATACAATTGTTCTCACAAGACTGCGTCTTACATTGCAAGTGTTCAACGTGATTTACTGCTGATTCCGTGCTTATTGTAGGTGTCTGACACTGCTGGCCTTGCAGACGCATTAATTCAGCAGAAACCTACAGTATTTACACCAAGATTATTGTCGACAATACTCCGACAATGTCCACAAACTCACATATTACATTTACACTTTCCACAAAATTGTTGTGTTAATAATGGATTTGTGATTTATTGTTTTTTGGTTCGTTTGCTGTTGGTATTTTTGTTTTTTTAGGGGTGGGTTGGTGGGTGTGTTGGGTGTGGGGTGGGGGTGGGGGTGGGGGTGGGGGTGGGGGTGGGGGGATAGATGTCGGGTAACAAGAGGTCAAAAACAACCTTTACTGGTCGTCCAGGCAGTACTCTACTGCTCCAGTTCGATTATTTACAGACCACCTTCATAGACCTGGAATATGTCCTATTGTGGCGTTAGACAACCAACAAACGTACAGAACAATCTTGTAAACAGAGAACAATATGCTGTATTAGTGTAGGTGTCTGACATTGCTGACCTTGCAGACATATGTATTCAGCAGAAACCTACAATATTTACACCCACCTACCTACCTACCGACCTACCTACCTACCTACCTATTGTCGATAGTAATCCTTGCACATTTCCGCTCCCACTGGCTGATTCTGTTGGTTCACAGCTTGGCATACAATGACGATTGCACGGACACAGGCAAGAAGGACGACATTGATACGATTTGGTGCCATCTTTTGTCTCTATACAACCTTGGACAGAAACACGACAGAGACACAATGCTGCTTATAGAACCAGACCAGTTCCATCCAGTAAGGCGTAAATAATCTATATGGTTCAAGTGATAAAGGTGATAAATATATCCATGAGGAGACCGACATCAGTTCCAACTCAATGATCTCTTTTAAAAAGTGACAGTTTTGGAAATTACTACTGAATAGTATATATTTATTGTCAAAACCATTCACACACACATGACCAGTGAAGCTAAAAGTCTGAGAATAAAGATCACGCCTTCAGAAATGTATTCTTAGTTGCTTAATAGTTCTGCTTATTCTATTTCGAACCAATGTTTGTAGCACAGGGCAGAGCGGGTATGTTCAGCTGAGTGTATTTCAATAACAGACAAATATATGCGAGCCTTTGGTGATAGTAATAACCTGAGGGCCAAAAGAAAGTATGCTGAGTTGGGTTTATAATGCAGTTGCATATTGAAAGAGCTGTTGTTAAATTTGATAATGTCTATTTAATTAGCACTCGTTGCTGCAACAGATTGAAGAAAGTAAAAAGAAGAGTGATTGAGTATGGTTTTACGCCGCTTTAGCAATGTTGCATCAATATCACGGCTGGGGGCAACATAAATGGGCTTCACACATTGTATCCATATGGAGAATCGAATCGAACTAGGGTCTCCGGCGTGACGGCTTTAACCTGTGGGCTACCCCACCGTTCTGTGTAATAGTGTATTGGTTCAATGGAGATGAGGTGTTTGGAAAAGTTGTAAACGCAAGCTGAACAAAAGTGAAATATATTGATTTTCAAAGATAACACACTGAACATAATATCGGTAGCTTTCGATAAGTTTTTGTTTCCTTTGCTTCTCAGTTTACATAGTTTTTATTCCTAATATATGATATTTACGATACAGAAACGAACGAGGCTAAGAAGATCTTTATCATATCATGTATTTCTTAAAGTAATCAATGTTTACTATTTTTTTTCAATACAGTAACTTTAGAAACCGCGTATCAATACACTGTTTGGGTGGGCAGAACTCACTCACTCACTCACTCACTCACACACACCAAATCACCCAGCCACCCAACCACACACCCACCAACCCGCTCACTCACTCACTCACTCACTCTATACGTTACTGACCAAGAAGCGAAGGAATATAAATTTCACCGTACATTTTATTTTTATATCGTTAGGTCGTCGTGGACTTACAAAACCATTATATACATTCAAGGTCACAAAGGCAAAGAGAAACGTATATGTAATGGGCATGTCAAATTGAACACGTTATACTCAGTAAGATGGCAGGGATTATTTCACCACATAACCGATTCCCAATTAATGTGGTTACATTCACTAATATCCGTCTGGCTGGCCACCCTTTCGTAGATCACAAGCACTGTGCCTCATGTTGTCCTTGACCCGGACTATATTGACAACTGATGTGAGTCCGTAGCCTGTGACATTGTGGCCTTTAGCAATGAGACCATTCACCACTGCCTGCAATGGAATAAGATATGGAATATCGATGACGATAGAATCTAAGGACCGGAACACTGTTGCTCTTAAGAGAAGATAACATCTTAAACGTTAAAATTCCCTGATTCGCCTGGAAACCTGCCTTCAAAGAGTCACCGTCATTATATAGTGGGGGACATCTCACCTGTTGAACTTCCTCAATATACACTGTGACACACATATGCATGTGATAAATCTCACCTGTTGAACGTCCTCCTCAATACACAAAATGACACATATATGCATGTGATAAACTTCACCTGTTGAACGTCCTCCTCAATACACAAAATGACACACATATGCATGTGATAAACCTCACCTGTTGAACGTCCTCCTCAATACACAAAATGACACATATATGCATGTGATAAACTTCACCTGTTGAACGTCCTCCTCAATACACAAAATGACACATATATGCATGTGATAAACCTCACCTGTTGAACGTCCTCCTCAATACACACAGTGACAAACATATGCATGTGATAGACCTCACCTGTTGAACGTCCTCCTCAATACACACAGTGACACACATATGCATGTGATAAACCTCACCTGTTGAACGTCCTCCTCAATACACAAAATGACACATATATGCATGTGATAAACTTCACCTGTTGAACGTCCTCCTCAATACACAAAATGACACATATATGCATGTGATAAACCTCACCTGTTGAACGTCCTCCTCAATACACAAAGTGACACACATATACATGTGATAAACCTCACCTGTTGAACGTCCTCCTCAATACACACAGTGACACACATATGCATGTGATAAACCTCACCTGTTGAACGTCCTCCTCAATACACACAGTGACAAACATATGCATGTGATAGACCTCACCTGTTGAACGTCCTCCTCAATACACACAGTGACACACATATGCATGTGATAAACTTCACCTGTTGAACGTCCTCCTCAATACACAAAGTGACACACATTTGCATGTGATAAACCTCACCTGTTGAACGTCCTCCTCAATACACAAAGTGACACATATATGCATTTGATAAACCTCACCTGTTGAACGTCCTCCTCAATACACACAGTGACACACATATACATGTGATAAACCTCACCTGTTGAACGTCCTCTTCAATACACACAGTGACACACATATGCATGTGATAAACCTCACTTGTTGAACGTCCTCCTCAATACACACAGTGACACACATATGCATGTGATAAACCTCACCTGTTGAACGTCTGCCTCAATACACAAAGTGACACACATATGCATGTGTTGAACGTCCCTCTCAATATATACAGTGACATACATATACATGTGATAAACCTCACCTGTTGAATGTCCTCCTCAATACACACAGTGACACACATATGCATTTGATAAACCTCACCTGTTGAACGTCTGCCTAAATACACACAGTGACACACATATGCATGTGATAAACCTCACCTGTTGATCGTCCTCCTCATACACAATGTAACACACATTTGCATGTGATAAACCTCACCTGTTGAACGTCCTCCTCAATACACACAGTGACACACATATGCATGTGATAAACCTCACCTGTTGATCGTCCTCCTCATACACAATGTAACACACATTTGCATGTGATAAACCTCACCTGTTGAACGTCTGCCTCAATACACACAGTGACACACATATGCATGTGATAAACCTCACCTTTGGAAAGCCATCTTCAACTGATAATGTGGACGGCAAAAGCTGGTGATGAAGACGTTTCTGGTCCAGGGCTTCTCCGGCACTCAGCCCAAACTTAATGGTATGTAGGGTTACCTATACAGAAACAAACGTGAAGACGGGTGCATCTGAAATATATTCAGTCAGTGACACGTCATGATTGATGTGCATCAATGTTCTGCAGTGTCACAAAATTGTTTAGGTGTATGTGCAACATATTCCGTCAGTGATTTAACTTCTTTCAGTGGCATTTAGAAGTTGGTGTGATGAAGTAAGACAAGTTCTATGGATGAACATCTTCTTTATAACAATTAGTGCGACGTTTCGGTGTAGATCCTGACACCTTTCTCAAGCAAGTGATGTCACTTGCTTGAGAAAGGTGTTAGGATCTACACCGAAACGTCGCACTTATTGTAATAAAGAAGTTGTTCATCCTTTGTGATTTAACATCGTTAATTATCATGTGCACACCAATCATCAGTGATAACCTTCGCGTTAACTGACTATAAAATTCTGGAGTTACATAATGGCTGGACCAACGAGTCACTGCATAGTCCAATCAAGAGCGCTGAACGAACCAGACGTCCGGTTCGTAAATAACATGGACTTTAACATGCAGATTCCAGGCTTTGCAAAGCACGTGTCCCGCCAACTCGGCATCGACAGATGTTTTGCAATTCTTCATGTTTTCAATCAAGCTGCTCAAATGATTTGATGCACTTCGCAAAGGAAGACCCGTTTTTTTACAATATAAATCTTGATTATCGATGAGATTGTTTTGACGGGCGTCGCCATTTTGTACAATATATTTTGCCAAACTAACATTAATGTCAACATAAAGCGAGTGACTGAATGTTTGAGATTAAATCTTCCCTCTTGCTACTGCCAAGCTAGGATCTGAACACATCCCATTACGGGTCACGTCGGGACGCCCTCCCTTCTACCAATCAAAACGGCGCTTACTAGACAGTCGGAATGTATTTCAAAGCCCAGTCCGGAATGAGGTGAGGTGAGATGAAATTGGGATTAACGTCGCCTTCAACATTATTGCACTTATATGGCTACGTGCATGTGAGCGTGTGTGTGTGTGTGTGTGTGTGTGTGTGTGCGTGTGTGTGTGTGTGTGTGTGTGCGTGTGTGTGTGTGTGTGTGTGTGTGTGTGTGTGTGTGTGTGTGTGTGTGTGTGTGTGTGTGTGTGTGTGTGTGTGTGTGCGTGCGTGAATGGGTGATGTCAAGATTTGGTAACCATGCCCCCATATGGTATTATAGTTTCAAGCCTGATTACACGTTTGCATGATTTTAGGTCTAAATCTGTAATGATGATTCGTGTTTTGCTTGTGGCGGTGTACTTCAACATACCAATGCTGCAGCTGTTGTAATCTTTGGGCCACCAGCTCCTCCCAAAACCAAGATGACGTCACCGGAGTTATCTACCACAACAGTAGGACACATTGACGACAGAGGGCGCTTTCTGGGTTTGATATAATTGGCGGGTGATGCTGGCACACCGTACACGTTGACAGTACCGGGTGTCGAGAAGTCGTCCATTTCATTGTTATAAATTATTCCTGTTGTCTTACCAAGAACTTTCGATCCAAAACTGAATAGGAAAGAAGTTGTAACATACATTATACATATGAATAATAAATGTCCTTTAATCTTTTAAACAGAACCTCAGAAAAATCAGATACAATAAGTTATCAGTATAAGAAAACATATACAGTCACACATCGTTATGTCGAACTTTGACGTGTCGAACTTACGGTAGTCTCGAAGTAAAACAGTCCCTGCTCGTTCCTTCGTCGATCAGTGATACCCCCAGCGTTCGCCAAAGGGGTAAAAATATGTTTTTCACCATTGTTTGCCTTACATCTTAAAACTGATCGATGTCAAGTTGGACTCACAAGTAATTTATGGTTGATGTTATCGCAACGGCGTTTCCCTCCGCATCTACAACAGAGAGGTGCGTGGTTCCTTGGTCTAGCGCACTGGAGAAGGTAGCACCATAGTACTTGGCGTCGTGAGTTGCTGCGTCATCAATCTTGGCCCGGGTAGAATCTCCAAATTCCCGAGATGTCATGTTTTTCATCAACTTAAACACGATCACAAACACAGATGACATTAAAGAGGCATTCCAGTCGGAATTACATGCAGGTGAATTGCCATTTTCGCATGTTTGTTTGGCCATAACGGGCGACTAATGGGATCGGGTGGTCAGACTCACTGACTTGTTATATGCACGTCATCGTATCCAAATTATGTAGTTCGATACTCATGAATGGAATGTCTGGTCCAGATTCGATTATGTACAGACCGCCGTCATATAGCTGGGATATTGCTGAGTGCGACGTTAAACAAGAAACAAACAAACTTACATCTGCCACGTCTTCAAAATCTTCATCACCAAGTTCTGATCTTTTGGCATATGCGAACTTGAAAGCCTCCACTATTCTGTGGTATGTCAGTATGCTGTTGTCATCATTCGAGACACTTTCACTCGTGAAGTTGTACCCTGCAAATGTAACTTGATATATACACACTGGGGCACGATGCCAGCTAACAATATTACATGTTACAGGCATTCATGAAGTGCAGACCATTTAATAGGTGACCATCATCTAAATTCATGTCACGCCTAAAGTACACCTTTTGAACAGGATTGACATATCATGCTACTAAAACATCATCGTATTCAATGTATAAAACTATTTTTTAACACAGGAGTACCCCAATAGCATATCAGTCAGAAATCTAAAGTGGCCCTGGCTCTGTTTTGATGTTTTTGTTTCTATTTCGATGTTTTTTTCAGATCAATTGCATTTAGAAACTGGTAGACATGTTAATATACCAAAAAGTGGTCGATTATGTATATGTTGTAATTCTTTATATATTAAGGATGAATATCTTTTCCTACTAGTTTGCTATGCACTATAACAGTTACGTACAAAATATATACAAGACACCTTTAGCCTTCCTCTTACTAAGCGGTACTTGATTTCAAAATCTAGCTATGCATCTTTATCGTGATAACACCTACGTTAAACAATTGTATGTATGTATGTATGTGTGTGTGTGTGTGTGTGTGCGTGCGTGCGTGCGTGCGTGCGTGCGTGCGTGCGTGCGTGCGCGCGTGCATGCATGCATGCATGCATGTATGTATGTATGTATGTACGTATGTACGTATGTATGTATGTGGGTGGTTGGATGGGTGGGTAGGTGGGTAGGTGGGTAGGTGGGAAGGTGGGAAGGTGGGTAGGTGGGTAGGTGGGAGGGTGGGTAGGTTGGAGGTGGGTAGGTGGGAAGGTGGGAAGGTGGGTAGGTGGGTAGGTGGGTAGGTGGCCAGGCGGGAAGGTAGGAAGGTGGGTAGTTGGGTAGGTGGGTAGGTGGGAAGGTGGGTAGGTGGGAAGGTGGGAAGGTGGGACGGTGGGTAGGTGGGTAGGCCGGTAGGTGGGAAGGTGGGTAGGTGGGAAGGTGGGTAGGTGTGAAGGTGGGAAGGTGGTTGGGTAGGTTGGTAGGTAGGTAGGTGGGAAGGTGGGTAGGTGGGAAGGTGGGTAGGTGGGAAGGTGGGAAGGTGGGAAGGTGGGAAGGTGGGTAGGAGGGTGGGTAGGTAAGTAGTTGGGAAGGTGGGTAGGTGGGTAGGTGGGTAGGTAGGTAGGTGGGTAGGTGGGTAGGTGGGAAGGTGGGTAGGTAGGTAGGTAGGTAGGTGGGTAGGTGGGTAGGTGGGAAGGTGGGAAGGTGGGTAGGTAGGTAGGTGGGTAGGTGGGTAGGTGGGAAGGTGGGTAGGTAGGTAGGTAGGTAGGTGGGTAGGTAGGTAGGTGGGTAGGTAGGTAGGTGGGAAGGTGGGTAGGTAGGTAGGTGGGTAGGTGGGAAGGTGGGAAGGTGGGTAGTTGGGTAGTTGGGTAGGTGGGAAGGTGGGTAGGTGGGAAGGTTGGAAGGTGGGACGGTGGGTAGGTGGGTAGGTGGGAAGGTGGGTAGGTGTGAAGGTGGGTAGGTGTGAAGGTGTGAAGGTGGGTGGGTACGTGGGTAGGTAGGTAGGTGGGTAAGTGGGTAGGAAGGTGGGTGGGTGGGTGGGTGGGTAGGTAGGCAGGTAGGTAGGTAGGTAGGTAGGTGGGTAGGTGGGTAGGTGGGAAGGTGGGAAGGTGGGTAGTTTGGTAGGTGGGAAGGTGGGTAGGTGGGAAGGTTGGAAGGTGGGACGGTGGGTAGGTGGGTAGGTGGGAAGGTGGGTAGGTGTGAAGATGGGTAGGTGTGAAGGTGTGAAGGTGGGTGGGTAGGTGGGTAGGTAGGTAGGTGGGTAAGTGGGTAGGTGGGTGGGTGGGTTGGTGGGTGGGTAGGTAGGCAGGTAGGTAGGTAGGTAGGTAGGTAGGTAGGTAGGTGGGTGGTGGGTAGGTAAGTAGGTAGGTCGGTAGGTAGGAAGGTGGGTGGGTAGGTGGGTGGGTAGGTAGGTAGGTAGGTAGGTAGGTAGGTAGGTAGGTAGGTAGGTAGGTAGGTAGGTAGGTGGGCGGGTGGGTGGGTGGGTGGGTAGGTAGGTAGGTAGGTAGGTAGGTAGGTAGGTGGGTAGGTGGGAAGGTGGGTAGGTAGGTAAGTAGGTAGGTGGGTAGGTGGGTGGGTGGGTGGGTAGGTAGGTAGGTAGGTAGGTGGGTAGGTGGGAAGGTGGGTAGGTAGGTAGGTAGCTAGGTGGGTAGGTAGGTGGGTAGGTGGGTAGGTAGGTAGGTAGGTAGGTAGGTAGGTAGGTAGGTAGGTGGGTAGGTGGGAAGGTGGGTAGGTAGGTAGGTAGGTAGGTGGGTAGGTAGGTAGGTAGGTAGGTGGGTAGGTGGGAAGGTGGGTAGGTAGGTAGGTAGCTAGGTGGGTAGGTAGGTAGGTAGGTAGGTAGGTAGGTAGGTAGGTAGGTAGGTAGGTGGGTAGGTAGGTAGGTAGGTAGGTAGGTCGGTAGGTAGGTAGGTGGGTGGGTGGGTAGGTAGGTAGGTAGGTAGGTAGGTGGATGGGTGGGTAGGTAGGTAGGTAGGTAGGTAGGGGTGGGTAGGTAGGTAGGTAGGAAGGTAGGTAGGTAGGTATGTAGGTAGGTAGGTGGGTGGGTGGGTAGGTAGGTAGGTAGCTAGGTGGGTAGGTAGGTGGGTAGGTGGGTAGGTACGTAGGTAGGTAGGTAGGTAGGTAGGTAGGTAGGTCGGTAGGTAGGTAGGTGGGTGGGTGGGTGGGTAGGTAGGTAGGTAGGTAGGTAGGTAGGTGGGTGGGTGGGTGGGTAGGTAGGTAGGTAGGTAGGTAGGGGGTGGGTAGGTAGATAGGTAGGAAGGTAGGTAGGTAGGTAGGTAGGTAGGTGGGTGGGTAGGTAGGTAGGTAGGTAGGTAGGAAGGTGGGTGGGTAGGTGGATGGGTAGGTAGGTAGGTAGGTAGGTAGGTAGGTGGGCGGGTGGGTGGATGGGTGGGTAGGTAGGTAGGTAGGTAGGTCGGTAGGTGGGTAGGTGGGAAGGTGGGTAGGTAGGTAGGTAGGTAGGTGGGTAGGTGGGTGGGTGGGTGGGTAGGTAGGTAGGTAGGTAGGTGGGTAGGTGGGAAGGTGGGTAGGTAGGTAGGTAGCTAGGTGGGTAGGTAGGTAGGTAGGTGGGTAGGTAGGTAGGTAGGTAGGTAGGTGGGTGGGTAGGTAGGTAGGTAGGTAGGTAGGTCGGTAGGTAGGTAGGTGGGTGGGTGTCAGTTAATGAAAACATCCTGCCTCTACCATAAACTCCAACTGGGTGGTGGCCTTTCTTTTGTGATAAGTGTCACTGTTTCATTGTGTTTCATATTGGAACAGCTTAACCTACTGATGACTAAATGTGAATAGTTTGACTGAAAGGGCTTACAATCGGTCGAAGCAGCACCTCGCTATGTTTCTTGAGAGAGCTTTTTACTGCTAAATCGTGTATGTACGATTACCAATCACAAACTAATTCTTTTTGACTAGCAATAATGGTTCGCGTTATTGTACATATTGTGGCTGGTGCTACGTTAAAACAGTTCATGCTTTCCCTTTTCGGGAGCACCTGGTGTCATCACTGATATTTAGTGATCTTTTATATAATTTTCACCAATAGTTTGCCTTTTAAAACCAGTTTCGGCAGATAATGGAGACTGATTATTTTCTGGCGTTTTGTAAATATCCTTTTGCTCAAGGACGGTATCGCGTTCTACTTGACTGTTCATTCTACTTCCCATTGAGGTGAAAATATGCCCAGGCCATACCGTCTAGGGCATTGAGGACAAGGCCATACAGACTAAGACATTGGAGACCAGGCCATACCGTCTAGGGCATTGAAGACAAGGCAATACAGACTAAGACATTGGAGACCAGGCCATACCTTCTAGGACATTCAGGGTAAGGCCATACCTTCTAGGACATTGGAGACCAGGCCATACCGTTTAGGACATTGGGGACAAGGCAATACCGTCTTGGACATTAGGGACAAGGCAATACCGTCTTGGACATTGAGGACAAGGCCATACCGTCTAGGACATTGGAGACCAGGCCATACTGTCTAGGACATTGGAGACCAGGCCATACCGTCTTCGACATTGGGGACAAGACCATACCGTCTTCGACATTGGTGACACGGCTATACCGTCTAGGACATTGAGGACAAGGCCATACCGTCCAGGACATGGAGACCAGGCCATACCGTCTAGGACATTGGGGACATGGCCATACCGTCTAGGACATTAAGGGTAAGACAATACCTTCTAGGACATTGGGGACAAGGCCATACCGTCTTGGACATTGGAGACCAGGCCATACCGTCTAGGACATTGAGGACAAGGCCACACCGTCTAGGACATTGGAGACCAGGCCATACCGTCTAGGACATTGGAGACCAAGCCATACCGTCTAGGACATTGAGGACAAGGCCATGCCGTCTAGGACGTTGGGGACAAGGCAATACCGTCTTGGACATTGAGAACAAGGCATTACCATCTAGGACATTGAGGACAAGGCCATACCGTCTAGGACATTGGAGACCAGGCCATACCGTTTAGGACATTGGAGACCAGGCCATACCGTCTAGGACATTGGGGACAAGGCAATACCGTCTTGGACATTGGAGACCAGGCCATACCGTCTAGGACATTGGGGACATGCAATACCGTCTTGGACATATGTGACAAGGCTATACCATCTAGGACATTGAGGACAAGGCCATACCGTCTAGGACATTGGAGACCAGGCCATACCGTCTAGGACATTGGGGACAAGGCAATACCGTCTAGGACATTAAGGGTAAGACCATACCATCTAGGACATTGGAGACCAGGCCATACCGTCTTGGACATTGGAGACCAGGCCATACCGTCTAGGACATTGGGGACAAGGCCATACAGTCTAGGACATTGGAGACCAGGCCATACCTTCTAGGACATTGGAGACCAGGCAATACCGTCTAGAACATTGAGGACAAGGCAATACCGTCTTGGACATTGAGGACAAGGGCATACCGTCTAGGACATTGAGGGTAAGGCTATACCTTCTAGGACATTGGGAACCAGGCCATACCGTCTTGGACATTGGTGAAAAAGCAATACCGTCTTGGACATTGGTGACAAGGCAATACCGTTTAGGACATTGAGGACAAGGCAATACCGTCTAGGACATTGGAGACCAGGCCATATCGTCTAGGACATTGGGGACCAGGCCATACCGTCTTGGACATTGGGGACAAGGCCATACCTTCTAGGACATTGGAGACCAGGCCATATCGTCTAGGACATTGGGGACCAGGCCATACCGTCTTGGACATTGGGGACAAGGCCATACCTTCTAGGACATTGGAGACCAGGCCATACCTTCTAGGACATTAGAGACCAGGCCATACCGTCTAGGGCATTGAGGACAAGGCCATACCGTCTAGGACATTGGGGGCAAGGCAATACCGTCTTGGACATTGGAGACCAGGCCATACCGTCTAGGACATTGGAGACCAGGCCATACCGTCTAGGACATTGGGGACAAGGCCATACCGTCTAGGACATTGAGGGTAAGGCCATACCGTCTAGGACATTGGGGACAAGGCTATACCGTCTAGGGCATTGAGGGTAATGCCATACCTTCTAGGACATTGAGGACAATGCAATGCCGTCTAGGACATTGAGGACAAGGCCATACAGTCTATGACATTGAGGACAAGGGCACACTGTCTAGAACATTGAGGGCAAGGACATACAGTCTAGGACATTGAGGATGTATGGATACACAGGCAAAGCCGCCTAAGACATCAAGTGCATGGTCATACAGTCTAAGACATTTAGGGTAAGGCCACATAGTCTAGGACATTGAGGGTAAGGCCATACTGTGTAGGACATTAAGGGTAAGGCCATACCGTCTAGGAGATTAAAGGCAAGGCAATACCGTCTAGGACATTGTGTGCAAGGCCATACAGCCTAAGACATTAAAGGCAAGGCCATACCGTCAAGAACGTTGAGGTAAGGCCATACCGTATAAGACATTGAGGGCAAGGCCATTCAGTCTAGGACATTAAAGGCAAGGCCATACAGTCAAGGACATTGAGTGCAAGGCCATACAGTCTAGGACATTAAAGGCAAGGCCATACCGTCTAGGACATTGAGGATGTATGCATACACAGCTCCACTTCCTGGTGCGGGCATTGAGTGCACTGTGTTGCCATCTCTCAGGGTGAAGGTAACTGGTGTTCGCCATGAGGCCGTATACCCACTTAGGTCTTCTTTTGATACGATGCCACCTGGAATGAACCACAGTTGAGAGAGATCGGACTTGTTATGGTTTTAGCCTACTCAGAGATAACAAACGACACATTAACATTGATGCCCTGGAATACATCCTTCACCATTCTCCTCCATCACACCATTCAACACCATTCACCATTCTCCTCCATCTTATCAAACAACACCATTCACCAGTCTCCTCCATCACACCATTCAACACCTCTCAACATTCTCCACCATCAGACCATTCAATACCTCTCACCATTCACCTCCATCACACCATTCAACACCACAAACTATTCTTCTCCATCACACCATTCAACAACACTCACAACTCTCCTCCATCACACCATTCAACCCCTCTCACCATTCTCCTCCATCTCATCATTCAACACCACAAACAATTCTTCTCCATCACACCATTCAACAACACTCAACTCTCTCCCCAATCACGCCATTCAACACCACTCACCCTTCTCCTCCATCAAACCATTGAACAACACTCATCACGTTCCTCCGCCACACAATTCAAGACCATTTTCCTACATCTCACCATTCAACACCATTCTCCTCAATCACACCATTCAACAACATTCTCCTCCATCTCACCATTCAACAACACTCAACACTCTCCCCATCACATTATTCAACATCACCCACCATTCTCCTCCATCTCACCATTCAACACCTTTCTCCTTGACCTCATCTTTCAACACCTCTGACCATTCTCCTCAATCACACCATTTAATACCATTTTCCTCCATCACACCATTCAACAACATTCAACACTCTCCCCATCACATCATTCATCATCACCCCTCATTTTCCTCCATCTCACCATTCAACACCATTTTCCTCCATCTCACCATTCAACACCTTTCTCCTCCACCTCATCTTTCAACACCTCTGACTATTCTCCTCCATCTCACCATTCAACACCATTCTCCTCTATCGCACCTTTCAACACCATTCTCCTCCATCACATTTTCAACACCATTCTCCTCCATCACACCTTTCAACACCATTCTCCTCCATCGCACCTTCCAACACCATTCTCCTCCATCACACCTTTCAACACCATTCTCCTCCATCACACCATTCAACACCACCCACCATTCACCTCTATCTCACCTATCTTCTCCCCTACCCAGCCCATTCAACAACACCCACCATTTTCCTTTATCTCAGTCACTATGGCATCAGTCAGGCTGCCGTTATAGAAGGCCGAGGCCCCTTCAGTAGCGACAGTCTCCAGGGTGTCTGCGAGTTTTGGATACTTCACCGTGTCTCCAGCCTTCACCATGGCACCAGTCGTATGGTTGAAGTACATTCTGGTGTGGAGTAATAAAACAGTTACAAAGTAATACAATAAAACGTTGACATATTCAGATGTAGGGTGGAAGTACATTCTGGTGTGGAGTAATAAAACAGTTACAAAGTAATACAATAAAACGTTGACATATTCAGATGTAGGGTGGAAGTACATTCTGGTGTGGAGTAATAAAACAGTTATGCAGTAATACATAAAACGTTGACATATTCAGATGTAGGGTGGAAGTACATTCTGGTATGGAGTAATAAAACAGTTTCGCAGTAGTACAATAAAACTTTGACATATTCAGATGTAGGGTGGAAGTCGATCTAGTATGGAATGATATACAAGCTACACAGTAAGACAATAAAACGTTGACATATTCAGATGTAGGGTGGAAGTCGATCTAGTATGGAATGATAAAACGGCTACACAGTAATACAATAAAACGTTGACATATTCAGATGTAGGGTGGAAGTCGATCTAGTATGGAATGATAAAACAGCTACACAGTAAGACAATAAAACGTTGACATATTCAGATGTAGGTTTGAAGTTCATTCTGGTATACGTGAGGTGAAATTGGGTTTAACGTCGCGTCCAAGATTATTGCACCTATATAGCGACGTGCATGCACGTGTGTGTGTGTGTGTGGCTGTTTGTACTAGTCCGGACTGATGCCGATTTATAGTGCTAGCTCAATGAGATACCATGCCGCAGTTTAACATGAATACCCCACTCAGACACAGTATACTGACTCCGAGCCGACCAGTCCTTGTTTTGGCCCCTTAATGCCGAGCGCCAGACAGGGTACAACAACAAGTACCATATTTTAACGTCTTTTGGTATGACGCGGCCGGGAATCGAACGCCGGACCTTCCGCTCTCCGGGCGGACGCTCTACCACAAGACAACAGAGGCGGCCATTCTGGTACAGAATAATAAAACAGTTATGCACCAATAGAACAAAACATTGATATATTGATATGTACAAATTGTTAATGCGTTACACTAGCTGTCATGACATACTGATAATCGCTCGTGCCCATCTGACCCAAATTTTGTTTGCTGTTAACAGCCGCATTCAGCAACATTCGATTTACGTGAAGGCGGTCTGTCCATGCCGTTAGGTTATTCAGTTAGACGTACTCACATAACTCACCGAGTCATACCAACCAAAATATTTGTGGTCTCGAACGACAAGCATAGGTTGATTCGGCCCTTAAATTCGAGCCAGGAGTTCTCATATCGTTTTGTTGTACAGGTCACAAGCATGACTGCAACTATATTTTAGGCAACAAAGAAACACGTTGTGCTTACGTGAATGATCCGTTTCGAAGTAGGTCGACGGATCTGGATATTCCATAAGCCGTTGCCTTGGTTAACTTCACTCCTTCTCTGCACATCTTGATTGTTGGCTCAAAGAGATATTTCCACGGTAGTTTACCAAATCTCTGGTGGGCCTCCCAATACCCCATTAGTTCCCCCGGCACAGCAATAGCAAGGCCACCTGAAATTGAATATTGTGTCACATAATTATTATCGCTATGGCTCATGATACAGAGACTATTGGTGATGTAATGCATGACGTCACAGTAGATGACGTCACATCAAGACCGAACACTGTTGACGCCATGTTGACACTTTCAGCCTGCTACATGGTTTTAAATATTTGAGAAACATCCTGATTATCATTCCACGTTTGTCAGTACCGTATATATAGAGACATGCATCACTCACTCACTCACTCACTCACTCAGATAACTTCTCAGTCCCTCCCTCACTCCCTCACTCCCTCCCTCCCTCCCTCCCTCACTCACTCACTCACTCACTCACTCGTTCACTCACTCACTCACTCACTCACTCACTTACCCACTAACTCACTCACTCACTCACTCACTCACTCACCCCTCTCCCAATTCCATAAAAATATATTAACATTTGGCAAGAAATACTATAGAAAATACCAGTATTTCATTCACCAAAAAATCCAAAATCGAAATATTTTCATCGTCGTAGATTATTTCGCGTTGCCGCATGTGCAGCCTCACTTGTGACTGACAACAACTTGTGCTTCTGTTATAGTGATTTTACCTGCGCTTCGGAGTGAAAATTGATATTTCATTGAAGAATGATTATGGTTTAGATGCAGAAATGTCCGGAAGGTGTTGTTAAACGATCTGGATATTTCTTGTACTACCATAAGACGACACTTTCCCTTTCCTGTCCCTAATAAAGAAATGTGTGAATAGTATTCATGGTGTCCCCGTCGGGATGTCACTCACTCACTCACTCACTCACTCACTCACTCACTCACTCACTCACTCAAATGCCAACTCACTCACTCACTCACTTGTTGCTCACAAGGCCAGTTGATATACAAGAAACATTAAAAGGTGATGTTTACAAAGTATGACAAGAGATAACGGAACTACATTTCATGGGTCATCCCCGAGTAGAACAATTCTACTGCACTTTGGTCACTGTATTCCAATGTAATTGGTAAAGTAGGTATGTCCGTCACAGCAAAATTGGCATCCTTTACAATGAATCTTCCAAACAGGAATTCATAAGAAATGAATTGGATTACCGGAGTACGAAATTTTTTTCTTAAGTACTTCAAAAAGGCCATTGAATTGGTGCATGTATCGGAAAATTTAAAAAGTGACGTTTACAAAGTATGACAAGAGATAACGGAACTACTTTTCATGGGCCATCCCCGAGTAGGACAATTCTACTGCACTTTGGTCACTTTGGTCACTGTATTCCAAAGTAATTGGTAATTACCGGAGTACGAAATTTATTTCTTACATGCTAAGTACTTCAAAAAGGCCACTGGTGCATGTATCGGATGTTCTAAACAAGGAGATTGATACAGTCGACAAACCGTGTCTGAAGTAGATGAGAGGGACAGAAAAGCGGTAATAGCAAAAAAGGGCGTTTTTTTTGTTTCCAGGCAAATCTTATTCCACCGACTAATGAAGGGGTGATAATTTCTAAACAAACTGTTGACAGAGAGATGTGACGGAGAATTCTGAAACATCCATGACATAATCTCTATTCATATTAGGCTACACAATCATATTGTAATCTGAGTTGTAACAAAATGACTTCTGCA